GAGGTTGGACTTTAGTGAAAGCATCATAGATGATTTTAAACTGTAGTATTTCACATAGCTGCTGAAGTGATATACTGTGGAAACTTAGACTGAGATGCTGCTCTCATGATGGGGGGGGAAATAGATGTACATACTCATGTACATGTAAATGAAGGGCAAGCATGGAAATCCACATTATCCTAGGTATCCTCAGAGAATTGGTTCTAGCAATTCTGGGATGCCAGATGTGGGGTAGTCGAGCCGTTCTTTAGAATAAAACGGTGCAGTGTCTGCATTTGTGCCCTCACATCCTCCTGCACCACTCACATCATCTCCTTTATGTTAGGCTCATGTGATGTGAGTGTTTACAAACAACAAGAAAAAAAGCTTGAGTACATGTTGAATACAGACAAAGGGTGATTTACACCTGTAATCATAACTACTAGGGAATCTGAGGGGCTGGGAATGTGGCTCAGTGGTGCCTCACAGACATGAAGCCCTGGGTTCGATTCTCAGTACCACATATACAGAAAAAGCCTGAAGTGGCACTATGGCTCAAGAGGTAGAGTGCTAGCCTTGAGCAAAAGAAACTCAGGGACAGTGCCCAGGCTCTGAGTTCAAGACCCAGAACTGGCCAAAAAAAAAAAAGTCTGAGATCTGAGAATTGCAGTTCATAGCCAGCTCGGGCAGGAAAGTCTGTGATCTTTTTATCTCCAATAAGCCACCAGAAAACCGGAAGTGGCACTGTGGCTCAAGTGGTAGAGTACTAGCCTTGAGCTGAAGAGCTCAGGGACAGTGCCCAGGCCCAGAGACAGGTTCTTAAAAAAAAATGTTAGTTGAATTCTCAGATGCCAAACCCACAAATACCAGGAAATACAGCTGCCAGTATTTCATTATATGATTAAAAGATATATGTGACGCTGGGTACTGGCTCATACCTGTAATCCTAGCTACTCAAGAAGCTGAGATATGAGGATCATGGTTCAAAGCCAGTCTGGGCAGGAAAGTCTGAGACTCTTCTCCAATAAACCACTCAGAAAAAGCTAGAAGTGGTGCTGTGGCTCAAGTGGTAAAGCATTAATCTTGAGCACAATGAGGCTCAGGGACAAGGCCCAGACATTTGAGTTCAAGCCCCAGGATGGGCAAAAAATTTTTTTTTTAAAAGTTATAGTAAATTATTAATGAAAATAATGTGAATAGGCACATTTTTCTACATCCAAAAAAGTTGATGTACATTAATTGGTCAGAAAACTTTTGCATCTTTTTGGGAAAATAGGAGATTTCAATATGTATATATTTACACACACATATATATATAACATACATATGTATAAATATACATATATACATCTACATATATATGTTATATACTTTGTACATTTATTCTTTATTCACTCAGTCATCTGTTCTTTTTTTTTTTTTTTCATTTATGTGGTACTGAGGATTGAACCCTGGGCTTCACACATTCTAGGCAAGCCCTCTTCCACTAAGCCACATTCTCATTTCCTTCCTTCCTTCCTTACCTTCCTTCCTTCCCTTCCTTCCCTTTCTTCCTTCCTTCCTTCCTTTCCTTCCTCCTCCTCCTCCTCTTCCTTCTCCTTCTTTTGTATGTATGTCTGTTGTGGGGCTTGTACAGTGGGCCTGGGCCGCTGTCCCTCAGCTCTTCAGCTCAAGGCAAGTACTCTACCACTTGAGCCACAGCTCCATTTCTGGTGTTCTGGTAGTTAATTGGAGATGAGAGTCTCATGGACTTTCCTGCTGGGCTGGCTTTGAACTGCGGTCCTCAGATCTTAGCCTCCTGTGTAGCTAGGATTACAGGCGTGAGCCACCAGCACCGGCCTATCTTAGAATTCTTATTGTTGCTTTCTAAGGTATGGGCTCCGTGGCTCATGTTCATGGCAGCAGCGTGTGATCTGTGCCCTGAGATGACAAGGTCACCATTGGGCAGGTGAGGAATGAGTGGTTTTCATAAAATGGTCCGCAAGTCCCTGAAAAGGAACCTGGGCAGCTGCTGTCGTAGTCCAGTGACATAGCTGTGTAACCTCAAATTAGTGGTCTGGAAGCCAGCTGAAAGCAGGGAAGCAAGGCAAATATGGAGCCCAGGATCAGAGAGGTAGGAAGTCCCAAGCAAGTCAGTGCAAAGGAGATGGGGCTGGGATGGCTGGTGAGCTTTCTGTCCTTCTGGTGGAGTCTTGGAGGCGGAGGCTTTCCTCTGGAGGTTACCGTCACCGAGATGCCTCTCAGTCCTTGCTGTGCTGCAGGAGGCTCACACGTACAACCAAAAGCCCCTTTCAGTAAGTGCTACATGATAGAAGCCTGGGACCCTGAAGAGCTTTAACTGGGGTACACACACCACAGCTTTAACATGACGTTCGTGTCTTTTGTAGGCAGGGCCTCTGTCTGTACACCAGATCCAAGATGCTGCCCGCCATACAGTGTTCAGAAATATTGAAACTTGGGGACATCAGATAGCAGGGCTGAGCATGATGACTCACCCTTTTAATCCCAGCTATTCTGGAGAGGCAGATTGTAACTGGTCCTCCTTCACAGATGAGGAAACTGAGGCTTATGGGATTTGTTGATAATCCAAACTAAAATTGCTAAGAGCTGGCAGAGCCAGGACTAAGTCTCTCATCTACCTCTGACTTTTTTTTTTTTTTTAACTAGTGCTAGGACTTGAACTCTGGATCTGGGCGCCGTCCCTCAGCTCTTTAGCTCAAGGCTAGTGCTGTACCATTTGACCCACAGCGCCACTTCCAGCTTTTTCTGTGTGAGGAATGGAACCCGGGGCTTCATGCAGGCTGGGCAAGCACTCTACTACTGAGCCAACTTCCCAGCCCTGACTTTATGCTTGTGCTGTGTTGCTTCCCTGGGTTCCCATCCCATCCCAGGTCCAAGCCTGATGGCAGATGGCACTGCTTTACTGTTTGCTCTTGTCAATGGCAGACCTGATTAATTGAAAACTACATCAGTCACTAAAGCTTCAGCACCAGAATAGCTGTGACTTAGGTTACAATTCCCCTAGGCTTGGGGAGGGGGGAGGCTGGGAAGGGATGTGAAGGGTAAACAAAGGAGGAGGCTGCAATGCTTGGTAAGAAATGTACGCATTATCCTGCCCATGTA